GCTAAAACGATGAGGTTTAAACTTCGATAATCAGAACCACGCTGGGATTCCCTCTTACCTATGGTGGTCAATGATCTTATTTTGGGTTATTTTCTAGATTTAAATCTCAGTCTTAATGTTTTCTATGTTAATTTGAACATATTTTGTCAGACTGGCATGTCTGTGTCTCTGTTTTCTTCAGTATAAATGTTTGTGCTTCTGCCCATCTGGCCTTAACATTTGTTATGATCATTGTTTATATGCCTGATGTTGTTTGTCAGCTTTTCAGTTGCTTATAAAATACTAACTAACTAATAAAATAGTGAAAAACACCAGGGCAAAAGGCACAGCATGAGAATAATTGTTTTCTTTTTTTATGGCCCTCTAATTTTTTATTTTATAAATATAAGATTAATCAATTAATAAATTAATAAATGACAACTAGTGTGCAAGAAGTGGTTGCAGTTTGCAAAGAGTGAAGTGAAGCAAATTTTAAAATCTGATTTGCTAAAAGAAAATCCCTCCTGGGGAAATAAAGAAACAAGAAAAACTTCTCTAAACGTCCTGAAAACTGCTTCACCAACTGGAAATAAAACATCCAGCTTTTAAGCTTCTACTCAGCAGCATTGAAACCCAACAAATGAGAATATTAAAACTAGGGCTGATACAATTAATCAGATTAATCCTGATTTATCAATATTACCATAATCATCAACTAATTTGGAAATTGATTCATTGTTAAATGAAGTATAGAGATTCTAAAACATGCCTTTAGCTGATAGAGGGACCAACTTAGAGCAAGATTGTGAAAATATACACAAACATTCTGCATTTAAGATAAAAAAAAAAATGGTTTCATCTGTCAATATGCTCTATCCAGAAAGTTTTAGTTCACTATAATTTTAATTATTTGAATAGTTATCATTTATAAAATTCTTATCAACTGTAGCTCTGAATTTTATCCACTTTGACCTTTGACCTGACAGGAAGCTAACCTTATTTATTCTCTTATCAACCGTTTATCTTGTAAATACACTTTTACTACACAGTTAGCATAGTATTAGCTATTGTGTTAGTATATCACTAATTACTCCACCTTCTCCACATTAGGGACAGTATTTGCGTTGTTTGTGTGTTTGTTTATTTTTTCCCGTTTTTGCTGTTAGCATGCTAGCTAACCAGCTTCGGATCATTA